ACAATATGCATACCATTAGAAAGAGCTTGAAACGCTGATTACAAATCAGACTTCCTTATCTGCAGAACGCTTTTGGTAAGAGAGATAGACAACAGATTTTTTATTGGCATCATTTTTACCTCCAACTACGATACAAGTGAAAATCTTCAACCCCGGCTTTTCGTTTTATGCAAATTTTCTCATCCTTTTTCCGGTTTCTCGTTTTTAATTGATTTTCGGGAACACAGCCGAATTAAGCGAGGAGGTTTAAGCTCATCAATAGCGTAGATTTCAAAAGATCAAAAAATATGAAATTCGGAAAAGTCAAAAACCGGTGTCTTGTGTGTAGCATGCATCTGAGACACGACTTCCTACGTAATTACGAGAAAAATCAAAACAGCATGCTTTTTTTCTATCTAATAAAAATATTCAAAACTGTTATAGAAGCCTCTTACAATTATTTTAGAGAACTAAAAATGATCGAAAAGAACCTACTGTCGCCGCTGGTGGAGTAGCTTGAAGGTTATACTGTGAAGGAATATGAGGCACCGATGGTATGAGACAGCTGAGACGATGAAGAGCTAGGGCTGATGGCAAGACGCCTTCAGGTTGTGTCAGCTGCTAAATGTAAGCTTCAAGCAGTTAGCGTAATCAAAGTTTTATTTGACCAACCACGCTCTGCTTCTGCTTAATCCGTCGAAGACATTGCTCCAACCATGCTCGGATAGTTTGCTTTGCTACTTCTTCCTCTATCAAGTATTCTAGCTCCTCCCTTTGTAGTAATTCTTCTAATTGTAAACTCTTGCGAATGTCAACGCTTCGATAGGAGAGCATACTGTAAGAGATGGGATCAAGGCTGTTAGATTAATAACAGTATTTGTGTTACTCACTTTAGAACATCGTGGAATGACACATCCTCGCCATTATGTAACCGTTCCATCTCGTAGCACATATGCTTGAAAAGAAGCCGATCCTTGTTCGGATCAACTTCAAGTCTACCACGGAGCAAACGAAGGAGGAATTTTACTCGACGAGTGGGGATGGAGCGCTGAAAAAACTCTTGAGAGCTAGTTGACCCGTGCGCATGTGATGTGTCTGCTAAGTCCTTTCGCTCAGACTTAGATTTTATCTTGGAGCTTTGATAGTTTTTTTCCTAGGAAAACCAGTTTGTTTTGCTCTATTTCCTTTCGCTCAAGTAAGTAGAG